TCCCTCCCGGGGTGAAGTCGCCTCCCTCCGCGGGGCAGCGCGCCCACCCAGCAACCACTGTGGTGGCTGCAGGCTGGGAACAGGCTCTCCTCGGGCCGAAACGGGCCTCTCTGGACCAGCACCCCTGGAGAGATTTCTGCCCGTGATACCGGGGACAACTTAGTCAAGACCCGCATCAACGAAACGTTTTGTGTTTGTTAGGGACTACCGGTGCCCCCAGCCCCGGCGGGGTGGCGGGGAGGAAGCAGATTTCTGCATTTCCAGCATTTGCTCGAGATAGTGTTATTGTTAAATGAGCATTTAACACCATCCACTTTAAAGTTCTTGCGTGTAAAAAGGCGAAAATCTCACAGTTTGGTTTTTTTTTAAAGATCGATTTGGGGTTTAAATCGCTTATTCTCACATAAAACAGCTCTTACAGCCTCTACACGACCGTTTTCAATGCTCACAGCACCAGCATCCCCGCTGATTACAGCTGCAGGGGGTTGCAGCAGTAACACCCGCCGGTTCGCAGTTTCAGTAAGAGCCCCTGTTGGGACAACCTCCGCAAAGAAACTTTTTCTTCCCCTTGTAAACTGTTAACGGCGCAACCCCTCTTCCAACTTTTCTTCTCCTCCTTTCCGCTGAGCAGCAGTCATTCTATTTCAAACGTTTATTTTTTCAGTCAGATCACTGAGAGGTTTCAAAGATATTCCCCAAATTTCCCGAAATCACATGACGTCTCGACTCTGGTTCAAACGTCCTCGCCTGACTTTCCCGACTCGAAAATCCTTTTGTATCGTCCCCTCCTCCCTCCGCTTCCCCCTCCCCACCCTTTGCGGACTCAGACGCTATTGCCTTTCAATCAGGCGAAGGAGGGGTGGGAGCCCTCACTCTGTGCCCTGGAGCGATCAAGCTGCCTCTTCTTCTTCCTCCCTCTCCAGCCATCACCGATTGTAGGTATTTAATGAAAGCGCTACCTTTCAACGAAATCTTGTCGGAGCTTTCCTACTTTCAGAGCTACCCATCACAAAAACCCAGGCAGGGCTCTCCCTAAGTCGCCGATGGTTTGAAGGTGCCTCCCCGGACCTGGGCTCAGCCCGAAGCTTGCTGCCCGCCTTTGTCCCGCTTCCCTCATGTTACTCCCTTCCAAAAAAAGCAGGGGCCGGCTAGGCCCCGTACGGTACTGCAGGTAGAGAGACAGGAAGAAAAGCCATCATACCTCCCCCATTCTTAAAGGCCAGGTACGGGAACCTCCAGACATTGCCCAGCCCCACTGCATAACCCACCATGGAGAGGATGAAATCCAACTTGCTAGACCAGTTCCCTCGGGCTTTATTTTCATCCCCTACATCGTCTTCCTAAAAAGGGGGAAAGAGAAGGGGGAGAAAAAAAATATAAAAAGATCGGA